CAGAAGCAGATTGTTTAGTCTTACCCATCGAGACATATGTGGACTATTCTAGAATACACAAGTCTAAGTAATTCTATATAATTATAATTACAGAATATATATGATGATTATAGCACTCTGGGAACCTCAGGAGTAAGGACCAAGCCCTGGAGCATCACATGAAGTTGTATGTAGCACGAGTATTTAGAATTCCTTTAAGCCAGAGTTTAAAGACAAACATGAACTTTAGAGGTTATTTTAATTAAATTATATAATATAAAAGCATTTGTATGAGAACTAAACAATATAATAGTACAAGTTTCAAATTTAGGACAGAAAGGAATAATAATTAAAAACTTCAAATAATATTTTCAAGAAAATACACCATTAGAATCAAGAAGTAAATATCTCTCATCTGCAAAAAAAAAAAAAACAAAAACAAAGGCAAAACAAATTTTCCTGAGCATAAGTTGATATCAATTCTACGAATGCACATATAATTCGAAAGATCCTATAATACAGGTTTGGAAAATGGCATCAACTAGATGACAAATTAAGCATGTTTTAGATTATCTACACTATCATTTTGAACCCTTAGACCCTTATTGGCTTACTTTAACACCTAGTGCAAAATAAACATTCAATTCTACGCAAGTGAGCACATTACATTGAGACAAACCTTGTGAAACAAACTTCTACTATTCGTCATTTGAGAGGCAACTGAAGGGATCCGGCAAACAGATAGAGCTTCTATAAATAGGAGAACAATTACTTGCCACTGCTTCATTCTGAATGCTGGAAGTGCATCAAGGAAAGTCATAGTCTCTAACAATTGCCCCTGCACAAGATGAACCAACGTCCCTCATTTGCAAAAGCTGGATTAACAGCAGCACAATGATAACATATTTCATAGGGAAAAGAAACTCGTATCAATTTTTTTTTCCTTTTTGATCCACATAGCGGCCGCTCGAAATACTACTACTTTGGGGCACATCGAATCAATGAGGAGGAGCCGTGCCGACAGTTTGATGCCCAAGTACCCAGCCAGTCGACCCAACCTACTGAATCACCACTCACACGCCGTACGTCGAAAGAAACTTGTATCAATAACACCAGTAATACAAAAGGTCCACTACTACAAGGATTAGGAGATAGGAAATCATCCGGAAGGACTTTTAACCCAAAAAAAGTAATTAAACAAAAAAAAACTTTGAAACCTATCAAGAAGGGGTAATAATAGAAAAATCCTTTTCACGAGCAGTGCATCTGGAAATGGAGAAAGTAAAGAAGTCCCAAAAGAAGTTTATAAGTTAAACTCTGTTTCCGCTCCTTCTAATATCTCTATAACCTAATGAACCAAGAGGACTCCAGATGACATTTCTCCTAAGAACTTACTCCTCAGGAGAATCTAATTCAACGTCCACTATTTTCTCCTATAAAAATTTTCCTAACTAGTTGCCGGTGTTTTTAAGTGTCAAAACCAAGAATTTCCACAGATACTAAATATACATATTAACACAATGAAAATAATAATTATCGGCACTGCATATGCAAACCCATAATGTAAATTTTCAATTATCACCAACAAAACTTATTGAGAAAAAAAGAACATGAGTCTCATATTATTTCATCAATACCATTCCATGCTCCAAACTTGATATTGGGGTTGATAGCTTGAGTTCAGAAGCAAGTCCTGGTATTGACCGTGTTAGACATCCAGCAAGTGTTTGCTTGATTTCAGAAGATCGACCATCAGCAGAAATTATTTTCTTAGGATACTCCCTCCCATCAATATATAGAAACTCCTCGTGAAAACTTTCATCTTTTCCATATATGTAGGCCAGGGAAGACGATGTTACCCATGCAAAAATTGCCATCCACATAGTTGCAAAAGAAGATAACTAAAAACAAAAACATTTGAGGTTAGGAAGAAAAGAGTACATAAAAAATGAAAAATGAGAAATAAAATGGAAAAAATGCTTACACTTAGGCTGAAACCCTCTGGAGGTGCATCATACCAAGAGTCTTTGGGATCAAAGAGATCAGAATGTAATGTCCCAGGTTTGTTTGGCCTCTCTGGGGTTGAATGTGGTACAGGTAAATCATCACCGTTAATGGATGCTTCTTCGTTGGCATCACTTGGACGTGGCAATATAATAATTCCAGCATTCGAAACTGAATATTACGAACCAAACACAGAAAAACTATGAAATTCCTTGAGATATTACAAAGAACAGAGCACAGAAGGAAAAAATATTTGAGTAACTATCTAGTTCTCGTTCATAAATCAAATTTTCACAACCAGTAAGAGCCACTATTGTTTTTTTACAGAAATTTCATTATTTCAAGGCAAAAGAATAACAGAGGTAAAAAAGATGATATATATTGATGCTAATAATAACTGGAGTGACAAAAAAATTAGATCCATAATTGATTTGTGTGTCAAAATTTGGAATTGGATATCTAGAAATAATTTCAGGGGTAGAGCTCATCTAATGGCCAAACAAGTAACATTATCTTTATAGCATGTAGTACAATAACTAACCTCAATCATCATGCATATAGTAGAATACCTGCATCAGACACCACATTTTGCCCAGAATTTATCGCTTCAGCTGCTAGGCTCAGTGCCATTGCACAGGCTTCAGCAGATTCAATACGTAATATGTCCTCATTATCATTGTCGACAGTTGCCAAATTGCTTGTGACTCTAGAATTATGCTTTGTCTTCCCAATTTCTCTGACTTCTGGAAGGTTGCTGATACTGGTGTCATCGATTTTTTCATCTGCCCAGGTTACAGAGCGACGCAAGTTTTTCTTGCCTGGTTGTTTAAGGGAGGGCTTGATCTGGGTTCCACTAAGATCACTGGATCCACCATTTGGTTCTGTCGTTAAATTGCAACTAGTATCACACTGGTTTGAAGTTGAAGGAGCATCAGACAAATTAGTAGTACTTTTTCCGTTGGCTGATACTTTATTCCTTTCTTTTAATCCTCTTGGTTTCTGTTCAACACTGTTTTTCACGGGAGCTGCAGCGGATGGTGTTTCCAAAATGGTGAATTGTTCCTTTGACTCTCCTGTTTGTGCCTTCAACTTAGTATCAAAAGTCATCTCTTTCAAACCAGACGATATCTTTGAAACACTATACTCTTCATCTGTGATTATAGTACGGGTGAAGGACAGATCGCTGAAGAAATTTTTTCCACCGTCCAGTGGCTTAATTTTAGCTTTAGAACCTAAAATAGAGCATCAAAACTCAATTTAACAAACAGGTACATATAAATACACTGTTTTACTCTTTCTTCCTTTTTCCTTTTTCCCTTTCTTTTCTTTATTTCTTTTTTTTTCGTTTTTTTTATCAACATAGTAGAAAAACCCCAATTCATTACTTTTAGCTTTATAGACCCTACGACAGAGTACTTAATCTCACTTATAACCACCGATGTAAATAAATCTGTAGTTCCACTCAACTTCTACATTTTAGCATTCTAAGAACAATTTTCTTTTGCTAGAAAGATCTTTTGAATGCATAAGCTTCTCCAATATGGAATTCAACAATCAGATACAGTAAACCTTGGGCATACTAGAAAATAAATTGAAAAGAAGTTACCATTCTCGGATTCTTTGCCATCTTTACTGGGTGAAGTCTTGGTCTTATGATCTCTGTGCGGCACATAGCCTTCAATTGCATTTGATGGTCCCATCCACTCTTCAATAGGAACTTCTCCAACATTGCTTTCTGCCTTCTCCTGAATTTCAAGGTCTGATAGGCCCAAATCACAATTATTTCCCATATTTTCCTTGGAATCAAAACTCAGATTCTCGAACAGCCTCAGAATTTCTTTAAGTTTCTCAGGATTCATAACCGAGCACCTCTCTTCTTGCAATCTTCCAGCAAAGGCACGGCTGTTAATGAGGCAAGTAGAAGAGCAGTACTTATACGTCTCTTGTAAATCATACACCTTATGGTCTTTTAATGAAATTCTGTACCGGCCTTTCCTAGTATTATCAGGCGACAAATTAGAATGGCATAATGGATATCCACAGAGGTTAGAAATAGACCGCTCAGTCACCACATCTTCATAGTCACTGCGAGACATTAGAGACCCAGCTGCAAATAGCTGGTTCTCATTTTGAATGCCCTCAAGGAGTGCAAGCTGCAATTTGTGGATAGTGTCTTTTATAAAAAAAGACTGATTCTTTGCCATTGGGAAAATTCCTCAAAATCACTTCACTTTCCTGCAATGTGAATTGAAAATTTAACATGCATCAGTTCTGGATAAAAGTTAAGCGTCTCAACATGGTATAAAACAGTATAACAACATGGATAAGCACCATTCAGACGTTAGTTAATTGCTATCCATATAGCTGCTATAGTTCGCTCCATTTACAATTTGATCATACAAAATTCATCTTTCTAACTTGAGTTTTTTCACTATATGAACATGACTAAAACCTAGCGGAATAAGATGCATGGACACAGCCAAGGCCACGCATTATTTTACAAAAACTAGAAAAGAAAACACGCTATGGACTTACTAATCACTAATCAGAATAGATTAATATCCTCAGACAATTCCATCAATTCATACTTTGTCCATTACGACATGCATAGAATTTTAAGAGCACATTTGGAATCACGCCACACCAGCATCAAAACAAACTTAAGAGTTATTGTTCACTCGAATCGTCTAAACAACTGCAATGAGCAGACTGATACTCATTTGCAGGGATGAAAAAATGGCGGTTCAGTTCGGTTCAGCAGGGACAAAAACCAAACCGAAATGAACCAGTTATGTTCTTTCTTTTTTACACTACCCCTTGATTTGAGAAAAAGAACAATGAAATTATGTGCCTCAAACTTGTTTGCAACAAACCTAATATAGTATATACTTTTGCAACAACATTAAATAGGTAATCACATACATAGCATCTACTTTTGAAGTTTAAAAGACAATGTCTAGCCGTCAAAACATATTCAACAAGATTCTACGTATCATTTTAAGTAAACAAAGATTCCAATAATAAGTTTTACAAAATTCTAACAAAATTACAAAATCCTTTTGAATCTCTTGTACTAGTTGAATCTTGATTTCTATTCCGACTCCAATTTCATCTTTAGACTTCAAAACTCTACAAAAGAAACCAGAATTATTAATTAATATTTAGCATATAATAAAATTCATATAAATAAAATAGAGATAAAAAATATTTGAAAGTAGAGGTTAAAACTGCATAATCAAATTTCAAGTTTTTCAAGGCAACATCCATCTCCTTATGTATGCTTTTTTTTTAGATAAGAAACATTTTATAGACAAAAGTTTTTCAAGGCAACATCCATCTCCTTATGTATGCTTTTTTTTTAGATAAGAAACATTTTACAGACAAAAGGCACGGAGCCAAAAAAAAACAGCTTAAGGGTAGGGGGAAGAGGGCTCCCCCCCCCCCACCCCCCTAAGAACTAATGAAGAAAGGCTCTCCAATCTTGCAAAATCGATGACAGGCTGTAATTACAAAAGAATTTTCTATGCCTATAACACCACCAAAAAGTGTGTAACTGAACTGTATTACAGAAGTTATCAAAAGAAGAAGATTTATCCTCAAAAATTCTATTGTTTCTTTCCATCCAAAGATTCTAAAGGAGGGTTCTGGCTGCAGAATTCTACAGAATTTTTCCTTTTCCTTTGAAATCCCAACCCCGCAGAGCTTCATTCATCCACCCTTCAACATTCTAAGGCGTGCAACTGGAGTATCCAAAGATTTGAAGAAGAAAAGACCACCCTAGGAGAGCAAACTGACAGTGAAGGAAAGTGTGATCTATGGTTTGCTCATTTTGTTTGCAAAGAACACAAACAGGAGGGGAAAGAGTCCAATTTGGACATCTTCTCTGGAGTGGAGTCTGTCGGCTATGTTAACCGCTCTGTTGGCTAGGGTCCAAAGGAAGACTTTTACCTTCTTAAGGATTGAGTATTTCCAAAGAAGAGAGGTAACAAGCGGACTCAAGTGTGGAGTGTCTTCCAACAGAATTTTTAAGCCTGATTTCACCGTGTAAGCACCAGAAGAGTCTAGAAACCATACCACTTTATCAGCTCCTTCTCCAATCCAAGTAGTATCTAATCTACTCATTATGTCAACCCAACCCCTACTTCTCTGTCAAAAAGACCCCTCCTTAGGCCAAGATCCCAAGCGAGCTGCTCATCATTCCAACAGTCAGCAATTGCGGCCTTTTACGTCAAAGATAAAGCAAAAATTTCTGGAAAGTCATGAGCAAGGGTGGAATTTTCAGTCCATCTATCCAACCAAAAGCGAACTCTATCACCATGCTTTACTTTGAAAGACAAGAATTTGAGGAAGAGGATGCTGTTCTTTGCTATTTCAAACCAAGGTTTACCAACTGCTTTTCTTTTAGGCTTTTTTGACATCCACCTGAGAGGCTCAATCCCGTAAATACTTTTAACTCTTCTCCATAGGGCATCTTCCTCTTGAGTGAATCTCCATAACCACTTCAACAATAGCACATTATTTCGGAGGTGAAAAGCCCCTATATGCCAAAGGCCTCCCTCTTTCAAGGGCAGAGAAGTAGTTTCTCAATTAACCAAATTTCTGTGGGGTGTAATCTGTCTGATTTCCAAAAAAAAATCTCTCACAAGCTTATCAAGAGTTTTAGCAATTCCCACAGGAGCTTTTAAAAGAGAGATAATATATGGGCATACTGTTCAATACCGATTGGGCTAGAGTCAATCTACCTCATTTTGAGAGAACTAGGTTGTGCCATTTGTTAAGCTTTTGCTTCATTTTCTCTACCAAAGGCTGCCACAGGGTAGCAGCTTTGTAGTTTCCCCCTAATGGAAGCCCAAGATAGGATAAAGGAAAAGTTTCCCCTCTGTAGCCCAAGCTTAAAGCTTTATCCTCCAATCTTTCATCACTGATATTTAATCCCACAAGAGAGGTCTTGTCTAGATTTAAGGAGAGGCCTGAAGCCCTTAAAAACCAATTTACCACAATCCACCATTTAAACAGAAAGTCATTCTCATCAAGACAAAATAGAATAGTGTCATCAGCATATTGCAAATGGGAAATCATCACCTTTTTAGTCCCCACCTCAAACCCCTTAATCATTCTCTTCTCACAACAAAAGTGGATAAGCCTGCTGAAAGAATCTCCTACAAGAGTGAAAAGGAAAGGAGAGTGAGGGTCTCCAAGACTGCATCTATATAGTCCCAGTCCACCTTATCATACACTTTTTCGTAGTGTAGCTTGAGCTTATCATACACTTTTTTGTAGTCTAGCTTGAGCAAAAAAACTGGTTTTTTAGTGGACTGCCACTCTCCAACAGTCTCAGCAGCCACTAAAATAGCATCCAAGATCTGCCTTCCTTCCACAAAGGCAGCTTCGACATCCACAATGATAGAAGGAAGGACTTTTTTTAATCTGTCAGCCAGCACCTTGGCAATAATCTTATAGAGGGAAGAGACTAGACTGATGGGATCTCCTTACGTATGCTTGAGTACTCTATAATAGAATAACTAGCCACAAGGTTATGATTTTACAACCCGATGGTCAGTCAATCACTTTCTCAGGCAAAGGGGATCACCCTATAACGTATTCTTCAACTTTCTTAATCCCACTACCATCACCTTGAATATATAAGAAGCACGCCGACCCATATTCACACCATACCCTTGACTTAAATTAGTCCTCTGTTAAACAAGAGCCCTGGTCTGTCCTACCATATTTTCTATTCCTCGTTTTTGGCTTTTTGGCTTTTTGGCAGTATCATCACCTACTTATTCTCCAAACTTCCCTAATATAATGGCAATAAGCCCTTAGTATCATCACCTACTTCTATTCACAAAGTGTACCCAAAAAATCCAAGGCTGTATCGCAAGAACATAGAACAATTTTTTTTTTTTTTTTGTGTATTGTTTCGTTTTAGCTGGCAATGAAACAGAGTATTCAATTATTTTTTTGGACTGGTACTGTTTTCTTGCAGTTCCCACAAGTCAAGATCAATTTCAAACAGAACAGAACAAACCCAAATCCAGAATCGAGAAGAAAAGTGGAACACCTTTATAAATTTTGGCGGAAAACGAGAGTCCAAGCTGTTGAAGAAGACCCAGGTGGGGGATTGAAGAACTCGTCGTCGTCGCCGCCGTTGGGTCGTTCACAGAGAGCGTCGCCGCCGCCGGAGATGGTCACAGAGAACGAGAGGAGAGGGGGGAGTCGTGGGTCGTGAACTGATGGAAGAAGGGGGACGGCGCTGGTGTTTTAAAAGGAAACCCTGCTTTAAAAGAAAAAGAAAGCGAATCGAACCGGCCATTTTCGGTCCGCTTCGACTTCAATTCAGTTACCCGAACCAGCTCGATTCGATTCGGTTTCTTTCACTCCTACTTTGAAAAAAAAGTAGACTGATATTCTACACCAAGTCAAGGAGGAGAGTTTCGTAAGTAAAAGCAGGCGTTGATAAATACTTTTGCATACAACGCCTCAAGAAAAATTCAGAAAGATTACATATCACGAAAGAGAATCAGAGATACTAGTGGAAGCAAAAGCAGGAAATTAAATGATGAGTCGAGGAAGATTTGACAATTTGGTTCGAATCGAGATTTTTATTTTAAATCACCCTCCTGACTACTCTGAACTTTAATACGCATCTAGGATGAGTAGAAAATTATTTTAAATTCATGACTATTTTTGATTTACTTACCAGAAATCAAAATGGGAATGAATTAGAATGAGGATGAATCGTACTGTGAATGAATCAAAATGAAAACAAATCAGAATCAAATCAATGTAAATGGAAATGGTATTCTTTAATGCTGTTTACCATAAATTTTCTGAAATCAAAATCAGAACGTTTTTATGTTGTTTGCTAAAGCTATATGGAATCGGAATCAAATATATATATACTCATTTCTTCTTTCTAGCTAACCACAATATGTCATTGTACTAATTTTTTTAATTAAAATAGTAATAACTCTTCATTTGTTTATTATTATAGTATTGATCGTAGATATTTTTTATTGTAACAATTTATTTAGTAATAATTAATAATTGAAATAAAACTCCATCAACTAAAATATTTTGTTGTTTCGGTGTCTCTGGACTTTGTTGTTGTCCTATTTTCTTGTATTGTTAGTCTGAATCGGGCGTTTTTTTAGTAATCGCATTGAACAAATAATTTTCTTAGTAAATTCTTCATCTCTCCCCCATCCTTCTTTTCATATTACATCAATAAAATTTGTGGTTCTTTGCCATAATTTTTGGTCTGGTTCTTTTTCTGGTTGGTCTTTAATCTCATAAAATTGGTGTTATGTATAATCTAAAGAACTGATGGAAAAATAAAAGAATCTCGTGTCTTGAGAAACCAAGGCCGGCGGGGAGGCGTCTTTCCGGCTTAATTTTTTCTATTTCTTTCTTTTTAAAGCCCTAAGCCGCTCCATCCACCTAATCTTGAACCAACTAATTAAAATTATACACCGTTGACATTTTTAATTCATGGATCCCAGTTGGCAGCCACGTCAATTTTCTGTTAAATCTAACAATAAGGACTAAATTGTAATCAATTCTAAAGTACAATGACTAAATTGTTACTTTTGAAAGTTCAGGGACTAAATCGTTACTTTATTGAAAGTATAAGGACAAAATGTGTTTTTTAACCATATTTTTTTTATTAGAACACCCATCATTTAATATAAAATATTATTTAATTTTATTATTCTAATATTTAATAATAATGAATGATATTTTAAAATTTTTATTGATATTAATTAACAACAATGTAAAATTAAAAAAATTAAATATAAATTTATAATAAAATCGCATCAACTAATAAAATGATATACATTTTTATTAGAAGAAAAATTATTAGTAGTACAAATGAAAAAAAAAGTATAAAACAATTAATTAAATAAATCATGAGTCTCACTAATACATGAGAGAGAGAAATGGAAAAAGTAGTAAAGTAATTGCAATAAATGTGTGAGGCTCACAAAATAAGAAATGAGAATGGAATTGATGAAGGTGTAGGAAATGAATGTGATTGTTCTTTTAGGGAATGAGATTACTCAGAGGAGCGTCCCACCGTTTATTCTATTCATGTAATTTGGTAAACACCATCAAAAGGAATAGAAAATTTTTCTTAAAAAATGGCATGTTTACCCCAAAAGAATGAGAATCAAAATTTCTGGTTTAAATGTTCACGAGAAATGAAAATAAAGTATAACATTTTACTATTATATTCTTAATATTTTGCATAATATTATATTATTAATCATATAATATTTGAAATATGAAGTAGTAATTTCAATCCTGAAAAAAAAATAAATAATTTAATCAAATTAACTTAACAAAATTAAAACAATGTCATATTTATTTTAAAAAATAAACTAAAAAAAGTGCAAAATTCTTGATTCAAATATGAAAAAAAAAAACTTAAAATCAGCATTTTCCATAAATTTATTATACATATTTAAAAACACATAAACCCTCGTTTTGAATTTTTAATATACTAAGAAAATAAAATTACTCACGCTCTATAAGCCCTCCCAGGCAAAACCCCTTTACACATTAAGCTAAAATAAAATTTAGAGAGATTTCAACCGGCAAAAAGTGTTGAGATATCTTAATTATAGGAATTTTAGTTGTTGCTTTAGCCTTCCCTATTTTTAGGAGTCGTTGATGGTGAACATTTTCTTTAGCATGTATGTTATGTATACTTCTAATTTTTGCAAGTTGTTATGTGGTGGAAGGAATTTGAAGCTCTTGCCACTCCCAACAAGATGAAAGTTGTTGGTGCAAACACAGGTGATGTTGATGTTGTTGGAATTTTTTTGAGATACATGACTTGTAGATTTAATTATGTAGTATGTTCTATTAAAGAGTAAGATACTTTAACCACTGATGAGTCGCAAAGCAGCCTGTTGGTGCATGAGCAACGTACGAATGCTCAAGTTGAAGAAGAACATGCCTTAAATATCACTCATAGTGACTAGCCACGAGGTCAAGGATGAGAAAAAAGATCATGAGGACGAGGACGAGGCCGAGGCCGATATTCTTTTAACAAATCCACAATGTTATCATTATCACAAACTCGAACATTTTTCAATGGGAATGTCAAAGTAAAGAGAAGGGTGCCAACTTTGCTGATAATGAACATGAATTGTTGTTGATGGGTATGACAAATATGAATAAAGACAACAAAGATGATGTGTGGTAAACCTCATTCTAGAATGTGCAAAGATTGTTGGTAAAGGTTGTCAAGACCCTCCAAAATAATTATTAATTTTATTAAATCTAACTTGTAAATGTAGTGAGACTAGGTTGAATGCTAACAGAACCAATGAAACTAATTTCTCAAAGTTTTAATAAAATTGGAGGTTTGAATTTGAATTTTGAAATTTAAAAAGATAAACTAAAAGGAAAACGAAAGTCAATCCGACCAAACTTCCAATCCAAAGGTGTATTTTCATCCAATTATAATATTAATCATAAACTTTACACAAAATTGATTTCTAAATTCAAGAACTTAGTCTACTTACTCGAAACAGTTGTGGTAAATTTTAATTCTCATAATTTAATTAATTTAGACCAAGCATCAAAATTAAATTCTATTAATTAATCAATTGGGCACAATATCGTTCCAAATCAATCAAATAATAGCATTAAACATTAATTTGAGCTAGCTACAAGTTAATTAATTTTGTCTCTTTATTTCCCTAGAGTCTATTGTGCAAGCTATGTAACATGGAAAAGTCATAAATACACACACATACCCAACTCATTGCTTTTTATTTCAATCATTCATGACAATTACAGATTACAAAGTCATGGGTAGCAGTAGAACAATTAATATGAATTAAGGCGTCAATTTAATTAATATAAATTGTTCATAAATAATAATAACAAGAAACAAATAATACTTAAAAAAAAGAAGAAATTCCTATCTAACTCAAGCCTCCAAACTTACAATCAGACTTGAATCACTCTTGAATTGGAAGAATTAAAGTCTAGCCACTCATGATAGAAGGAAAGAACTTGAATTTAGTAGAAGAGAGTTTTTTCGTTGGAACCGGTATTATGGATCTTCCAATAAGGCTCTCCTATTTATAGAGATTAATTTTATCATCTTTTAAAGATGAATTATCTCTAATAAAGAATTCCTAACTAATTGAAAAAATCCTATTTAAAAGAAAATAAAATAATTAAAAGAGTTTCTAGTCAATTTAGTATTATGTCATATTTCATAAATGGATTATATCTCTTTATTTAAATTATCCTAAAAATCCATAATTATCAATTTGGAGCGTCTCGCCATAATAATTGTGTCTCTATTTTATTCGTTGAGCTCTTTCCAATTCTGTGAAGTCCACAAAATCCTCTAAAATTGCGTTTTTAAATTATTATTTTTTAATATCTTCAATCTATCACAAAATGTAAACTTATAATTAAATTCAAATATTTAAACATAATAAATTAATAAAATACAAAAATAAATATATAAAATATGAGTGTATTTTTCATTTTATCAATTGTTTAGTATGAAAGAACCATAGGGATCCATTTCCAAAGATGGAGCACTTGGAGAGCTTCACATATTCTTCAATTGTTGCATGCTAATATTTATGTACCAATCTAGCCCATCTCAAATAGTAGAAAGTAGTACTTACTTTTAGTGATGATTTCAATAGAAAATATATGGGGTTTCTTTTTGACAGAAAAGTTAGAAGCCTTTGATACTTTCAAAAGACTTAAGGCGCATGTGGAAAAGGAGACTAACGTACATATCCATGCCTTACAAATAGATTGAGGATGAGATTTTACATCACCATAAGAATTTAATAAATTTTATGATGAAAATAGCATACAAAGACAACTGACAACCTCATATACACCACAACAAAATGAAGTTTCCAAATGGAAGAATTGAACCATTATGAATATGGTTCGAAGTATGATCTCATAAAAGAAAGTCCCAAAAAAGGTTCTGGCCTAAAGTTTGTAAATTTGACCGTTCATGTCTTAAATCGAAGTCCAACCTTGGCTATAAGAACCAAGAACCTAAAAGAAGCATGTAGTGGAATAAAACCTTCGATAGAGTATTTTAGAGTTTTTGGTTGCATAATCCATGTTCATGTGTTTGATAACAAATGCACTAAACCAGATGATAAAAGTCCCACTTGTATTTTCCTGGGAGTTAACGAGGAATGAAAAGCTTATCAACTTTATGATCCTATTTCACAAAAGATCATAATAAG